ACTTTAGATGGAATCCATATTTAATTTTACCTCGGTTACCGCTGATGGGAGCCTTGGAGGAGATTACAAACAGGCAGCTGCATGAACTTTAAATTTCCGGATTTCTTAGTTCTAACCAACAGGATAACTTGCACTACCAAAGGATCTCAATTTCACATATACACCAACAAAAGGTCGCTGATAAAACTTCAGATACACGAGGATCGAATTACTTTATCTAAGTAAAGTGAATAGTTACATTTGAGCCCTGTATTGGGGTTTCAGTAACAGACAATAAATATGTCATTGAATTACTGAGTCAAGACTAGTGAAACTTGTTTTTCTAATCAAAGTACGGTTCGAACATTTGAAGTTACAGAATGTAGTTTGGGATGAGGTTTCAAGAGAACTGGGATGACATTTTGTAGGGTGGAATGGTTAGCATTAGTTACAAGTAAAAAGGAAAGCAGATTTGTAAAGGAAGTTCTGATAACAGTAGGAGAAGAGAATTTAAGAGGAAAAGAATAGAATAGTTGATGAATTTGATTTACAGCTAAATATACTTAGTACAGAGACAATTCCTGGTCGCTTACACGGTGAAGAAAGATTTTCCTTCATGAGTAGCCGGTGACCAATAGTTGGTTCATACACCATTTGTTCCCTCAGGATCCTGGAGCCTATGTGCACCAATGGTTTGGAATCAGGGTCTTCCAACTCCCCTAGATGAATCATCCATATCCACCAACCCGGTTAAAGCGCCAAACATTCGCTTCTCGTCCTCTCAATTTCGTAAGCAACAGTAATGCCACGAGAAGGCAGTGAGTAGGACTTCCATGGAAGTGGTTGTATGCACGTGGCCATGCGAGAGCATTTTGAGAGGGAGAGCTAACTCTCCCCACCCGTGGCTGTACCTGGGCAGTCGGGGGCAATATTAGGTAGTTAAACAGACTTATTACTAATTATGAAGTAAATAGACTATCTTGAGATTATTCTAATGTTAATATTATGACACTATTCTTAACAAAGGTAACTAATAACATAAGTTCTTTGTCTAAGTAATAATAATCTCTATAATTATGATAAATAATGTCTCCTGGAAATGATGCAAAAGGAGTGGTAACAGTAAGAAATAGGGGTCCATTATTTTAAAAAACTTTAATTTGAAACTTATTCGCAATGAACATTTGTAACAAAGTTGTCAATACTATGAAGAATAAAAATTCATGGAAAAAATGTAAATAAACATGATGTCACATTTAAGTACATCATTATTAATGATATAAAACACAGTAATAACCATAAATCTTAAAGGAAAAGTGAAGTCATTCATAAGGAAGAAGATAATGTGTGTTATATAAGATGAGAGACACCGAAAATTTGACATAGTTCTAACTTCATGTGTGTTGTAGAATAGCAGGTTTCATCCATTTTCTATGGGAAATATGTTGGACAGCCTACACATCAAAGAGTAGAGTCTTCTTTTTCATATCATTTACGTTCAACATATAGTGACAACCTATACTTTTTTAGGGCTATAGTATGTTGAGAGATCGTTTAATGTCCTGGAGGGAACTGTCATCAACAGCAAAGGTCAGTCTGGTTAACCAGAATTTATAACAAACTTGTGAATTTAGTGAAGTAGTAATGTGGTGAAACTAATCTATTAGAGAACATCTAGAAATGTTATGAGTTTTCCGACTATAACTAGTCAAAGGAAGTAATATTTCTAAATGAAATAAGAAGACAAACAGATTTTTGGAAAGGAAAATTTCCTGGGATGTCTAAATTGGATTAGGCGCTGCATTGTTCTAACCAATTAAAAGACCAAATGCTTTAATCACCGAATCACAGCTTCACATGTATGACATAGGCAAATAACTATACATGAAACAAATCACTTAACTAAATGGTTCCCATTGTTATGATTCACTAATCACTAACGTTGTGGATTATGGAAACATCTTCCATACCAACGGAATAATCAATAGAGAAATTTGTTTGATTCAGTTACACGATATGATGAAGTGATTATATAAAAATTCTCACCTTTCACCTTGACTTTACCATCAATAAAATTTTTTACGCATTAATATATTAGAATATTATATGTAGTTAAAGTGAATTCCATTAAACTGTATTATGCTGTTGTAAATTTAGCATACCTTGACCTTCATTTTTGGATAGTTTTAACTAAACGATACAATTTGTGGGGTAATAAATTTATGCATAAATTGTTATTATTGTAGATTTTAGATGATCAGCTCAACTATATTTATGATAATTATTGCAAGATGAAGAGTTTGTTCATCCGTAGGCTATATGATACGCACTATTTGAGAAAAGTGACTTGCAGATAACTATTAATGTACACAGTAGTGGCCATATTGCACCTATATAATACGGTCAGGACACTAAGAGCTAAAGAAACGCATCACTGATTACTACTCAGTGCAACTATCTCTGTTCTACATGATATCAATCGCAGATGGAATGGCTGAGTGATAACATCATTGATTACCACTGGGTTGTGAAATTTGCATCCCACGAAGAGTACCATTCCCGTCAAGATTTTAGATACACCTTGCTGACATGAGCCAAACAACACTAAATTTAGATTTGGTGCTTTCTATAGCTTATCTTTTATCACATGACATTAAGATATACTTTATTTCTTATGTTGGATTAACATGCATTCGCAAAAACTGATAGGTGAGTGGTGATAATCACTGATTAATACACCAAGAGACTTGTGTTTACATAAAAGAAAGAACATGAATCCTTCTTTAAAAATTTAAATATTTCTTGATTAATGGACGTCAAGTAGTATTTTAAAAAAATGAAGATTCAACACATTCTACTGATTACCCATCGACCATTCAAAAGGTTTTGTATAGTATGCTAACAACCATAAGGAAATTAATTGAAAACAATACTGTATAAAGGAATTTTATTTATTTCAACACATAGATAATGGCACAAAGAGGCACCAAATACATATGCGCCACAAAAGTCTCATTCGATGTGTGAGGGCTGTAATACTGCCCGGGTGCTCAAACCGAACCAGGTGGTTTTCTTAGGGGGCCACACCCGGAGCCTTCGACCTGAAGGTCTGATCCACAAGGCAGTGGAGCATCGTGAGGAGATGCAGTCCCATGGAAGCCGGTGACCAACAATTGGTTCATACGCCATTTGTTCCTTCAGGATACTGGAGCCCATGTGCACCATTGGTTCTGAATCCGGTTAAAGCGTCGGGCATTCGCTTTTCGTCCTCTCATTTTTGTAAACAACACCCCCGGCCACGAGAAGGCAATGAGTAGGACTTCCCTGGCAGAGGCTATATACGCGTGGCCGTGTGAGAGCATTTCGAGAGGGAAAGCGGACTCTCCTCACTCTCGGCCGTACCAGGGCATTTGGGGGCCAAGTTAAAATAACACATGCATTCATATGAATCATATTTGTTTTTAATAATAAAACAATAATGTCCTCATTATATATGTTTTCTATCTAGTAATTTGATGACAAATTTGTGATGTTTACTACATATTTCATTCATACACTTCAAACATAAGCAAACTCGAGTTCATCCAATAATCGGGTGAACAATAATAATACATGGGCTTTAATCACAACAATCGGTGTTGTATTCTTTTCATAAACCAAAACAGTATAAATATATTTTACGTTTTCAACATGATTCAATCTCTTGGCTCATGAAATTATTTTTTAATATCTATTCAGCTTTTTACAACTTCGACTAGATATCGTCATCACTTACTTTTTACTATGTCTTCTTGTTATAAGGTTGGTTAACTTATATTTATAACAGTATTACTAATTGTATGTTATTTTGTTTGAAGACGTTTCCTGGTCGACTATTTCATTTATTAGAGCTATAAAATTATATTTAGTGTTATATTTTTTTACATATAGTTCATAAGAATAGAAAACTATTGTGTCATTGCCAGAGATAATAAAGTCAGTCAGAATTTAAAGTTATTCAATAGTCAAGGGGTAGTAAAATTGAAGTAAGATATAGGAACGGTGTTTTTAAAATCTGAAGAACAATGGTATCATGTATCACTACGTCATTTGAAGGGCATATCACGGATACCCAACTTAACATAAGATTACTTTGGAAGAAAGCTGCCAAATGAAGACTTATCATCATTTCATGAAGTTACTGACTGCTGACGTAAGAAGCATGGGAATATGTAGGCTTTGTGGCTGAAGTTTGGTAGGCATTCATCATCTATCGTTGGAAACATTCAATGGCATAGTCCAAGACAAGTTGTTGTTATCTTTTGTTTTATTTTTTCAACTATCTTTCAACTGAACTCTACTCACTATATTCTTATCAATGTTTATTCATTATGTAATCAATTGTTTCTAACCCACTTTTGAACCGTTGTGACAATTATTGTTGTAAAATATTCTTTGACATTAGGTATATATTTACAATATTCAGTAAGCAATTTAAACCCATTATGTAATTATGATTTTTAAATATCACAGGTTGTAAGCAGCTGACGAGAGCCTACGAAATAAAATGAATTCATGCTATTCTGCTAGAATCTTTGTTCTTGCTCTTTTCAATATATATATATATATATATATATATATATATATATATATATATATATATATATATATATATATATATATATATATTACCTAAAAGGAGGAACATAAAAGCAAAATTATAAATGAACTATTAATTCATCGTTAACAGAATGAATATTTTTAAGATAAAGAAAATTCCTCTGTGATTATTAAGTCATAATCACATGGTTAAGTCGACTCACGATCAAATCATCAGTTTTGAAGCGTAATTGATGTAATACACATCATTCAATAGGTTGTATTCACATTTCATTTAATTAGAACAAAATATAAAATGTATGTTATGTAGCTTCATCATTCACAATGTAAATTGTAGCTAAATATTCTTTCTTTTAATGACTCATTTAATGGTACATTTCTGTATTTCTATTTATATCTTACTACTATTATTATTATCATCTAAACAAACGAGTGTTTATCACAATTTATTGATCATAATATCACTTCCAGAATATTCTACATGTCATAAACATACAGGCCTATTCTAATATATGAATATACAACAATCGATTTTTAGCAGTAACACATCCCAACACAATAGATAGATAGATGATATTCCACATAAAAAAGAATTGATTATTTTAAATTACCCATATTACTTAAATTTGATCCTATTCCACCAGACTTGTATTTATAAATTTAGTTGAAATATTAAGACTGGATCATTATTTATTACAGTGACACTGATTAAACTATGGAGAATCACTACTTAAATTTGAACGAAGCAAAGTCATATTTAAATAATTCTACCCCGTTAACAAAAAGTATACAAACTATTATAAAAGAAGAAGATAATTGTAATGTCAATGATAATAACAACCAAAATTCAGAAATAATTTCTGTCAGTTCTGTAAGTTTATATTTAGCTTATTGAAATCCTATCATCTATATTCAAAAAGGATATTAGCAGCAGTGGTCCTGTTGATTACTTCACTGTTGCAGAGACCGATGAATTTTCTGAGATTATGAAGCAGGACACCATGGTATTTCAAATATGTAGTAAATTAAAGTCAATCTAGTTGACTTCATACTTAATCTCCAATCAGGAGAATATTGAGAGGAAAGAGTGTTCTGAGAGGGAGATTACTTACAATGTAAGTGCTACTGTTGTAATCTTGCTTTTCCTCTCTTTTCTGTTAAATAAGCTGTTATTACGTAGACTAGTTGATGAATATCTCGACAGAAAAATCACTTACTCACACCAACCAAAGTATATACTAGATATTCTAAAATGCGTACTGGAGAGGAATTTCCCTGAATTCAGTGATTCATTTCATCGTGAAAGAATATGCGCTTATCTGAAAGCATGCAGACGTAACGCCAAAAGAAGGAATGGTGAACCGTATGTGAGAATGAGTGCACGTTATCTAAGTTCTGGAAAGGCATCCAGTTTGGCTGAAACTATTTACCTGAAAGAGCAAAGTTATTTAAACAATATGATTTCAGTGAGTGATTATCTGTAGAAATGAACAATGATAATTTTAGAACACAGAAAACAATAAGTTGATTGGGCAAGCAGCACCGATGGTTGGTTGTCGTGAGACCACTGAAAAAGAGATTAAAAACACAAACAAGCTGATTCGTCATCAATCACAATTACATAAATTTCATCTCCAACAGGTTGACCCACAAATAACCACTCACACAATGAGCTATAATGATGACAATATGAAAATTAACAACAGTCATGATTTTCCTGTAAATTCTGACGAAGAGATTCCTACTTCATTGAATTCTGTTTCTCAACAAGCAAGTGAATTTATTAATATCTGACTATTTAATTATGATGTACAGCATATAGATGGGACTGTATTTGTGAAATTATTAGAGCAAACAGCTGAATTTCTCCAAATAATAGCCAATCGTCTAGATGCTGGTCAAGAAACGTTCTCCTAAAATAAACTTGATAATGTCGAATCATAAACTGTGTTACTTAGATACATTATTTGTTCGTGATGTTTATATTCTCTTTTGAAGTGTTTAATTATTACTAAAGTTTGCTCTTTTCTTATGCACCAATATTGTCGTTCCCGTAGGTGTTAAAATTCAGAATAATGTAACGGATTTTAGTTAAACATAGTCAACATAGAGCCTAGAACAAAAGTACGTTACTCCAAGCTGCAACACGGCGTTAGCACGATGCGATAAAATTGGTAAAAGGAATGGCAAACGAGTAGAAATAATGTAGTAGCAATTGTAGTCATACATACTACACATTGAGAATATGTTTTGAAAAGATGGAATGAAAACCTGTGTACAAAGGAATACTGATACTCAAGATTGGGAGTTAAGGAGTGGATGTATTTGCCCCACTGTGATTGATCCTGAACAATCTGACCCAATGTATATAACGAAATTACTACTTACAGGCTCAACACTAGCTGTGTGAGGTACTAGTGAAACTAATCAGGAGCCAAACCGAAGTAGGCGGATCGTGGTTCAAATCTGTGACCCAATAATTAAAAGCAAGAAATAAATTAATTCGTAAACCATTATTCAAAGTAATGGGACTACCATTAATGATACAAAAAATGATCGCAGTTATTGAATTAGAATCACGTATTTTATGAAACATTTTGTCAGATAATATAACATTAAAATTATGACTTGCTTTATATTTAATAGACCACTAAAAAATAACTAATGTCACGTTATCCAGTCCTTAATTTCAATCGGATCTTATTGATTAAGCTGGAATGTGACTATTTGGTCAAACAAATTAATACTACAGTACAATTTTATGTTTAACATTAACAGATTCACTTTACACACATGATAATTAGTAACACTTGTGAAAAAATTAAAGTGTTTTATCTAGAATTCGATCAAAACATCCAAATAAATTTGGCTCAGACTTTTGCTCTAGTTAGATCTTAAACAGTAACTTACATGAAGTCGTGAACCGTCTGGCTTCTTTTTTTCTACTCGTTGGGAAATATTACTAATAAATTATCTTGTTGTTTCGATGGAAGGTTGAACTGTATCAACAAATAAGTCATTAGTAAAGGAAAGTTTCTTTTTAACAGGTAAGTTAGAAGTAATAAGGGAAAAACTGAAAACAATTTAATTAACAAAGATATTAGAAGGATGAATTTACTTTTGTAAGATGATTGTTCTTAATAAAGCAGGGTTCACTAAGTTTTTCCACTTGAGATTGTTGTTTGCCACATAATCTTAGCTAGAGAACTATTGAAAGCCATTGAGGATTGGACAACTGCTTAATTTTGTAGGATTAAATTAACTCATTTACCAGATACTAGGGTATGGGCCACACTCGAATGATATTATCTAGTTGACCGAACCGAAGTAGGCGAAGCGGAGTTCGGACCTGGGATTCAGAGGTTGAAAGTCGAACACCTTAACGACCATGCAACTGCTCTACACGTAGTATGAGATATCACAGATCTTTTAGCTAAAACAATTTCATCATATTTAAGGTTTATAATTGCGTTTCAAAATGTATATAACTTTAAAGTTTACAAATACCAGTGAGAAAAAGCTTCAATCTAAATTCCAGCTATACGAAAAATGTATATCAGTTATTTTTTATAATAGTTAATTTTTGTTTAGCTAACAAACCAAAGGACACAGAAATTATCAATACAATTCCAAAATAAGTATCCCTTGATTTAGTGTATATGACAAAGTAGACATCTATAATTAGTTAAGACAAAAGGATGATACCTTCCAATTATAAGTATTTACATATCAATATTCAGTTAGATCTTAACACTGCAATGTTTTAGAAAATATTACAGATTTTAAATAAAATAACTTACATAAACACAACTTTGTTATTAATAGCAATAGATTGTTAAAAAAAACATTTCATACATAAGTTATACCATCTATATTATATTATTCTGAGAAAAAGTCCGTTTAAATAGAAAAATATCACTAGTTGCTAAGAATTAATATTTAAATAAACCTGAGAACTAATATGTTTGTCAATGAATTTATTAAAAAAGGATGACCTCTCTGAATTGTTTTAAGGTTATATATGAAGAGAAATGGAAATGATGGTATAAGATCTAAGGAGATAAGAAGTGAATAACATCTGGAAAATTAAGACCGATTTCGGGTCATATCGCTTAATGTCTACAACCATTGATCATGAATATTACATTGCACTTGATCAGGGAATCAACACCACCCCACACAATTCACCTTATTAATAGTCAATGACTTTATGGGCTAGTAGTCTGTTTTGGCTTGATCACCACCTCAGCTTTTGTTCAACCTAATTCTACACTAAAAAGCAAATATTAAAGAGTACGATGAGAGCATGAACTAAAAGAATACACAAGTTTAGACCGACAAAATATTAATATTAGAAATAAGTAAGCATATATATACTGTCAAGTGTAATTTTCATTTTCACCGTACAACTTCCCAAATCTTTTTCGTTTTAAAAATATTGGCCAAATATCATAGTTCTTTATGCACCTTCCATGGAAACTTCATGACTTAGTAAAGTATAATTTGCATTACAATTCTCAGGTATTTTCAACTAATATTTATACTCCATCCCATAAGATACATTCAAATAGCGGCAATATCTACCTAGTGTAATTATGCTGTAAACTTGACGATAACTATTCTCTAGTAACACAATTAGTAAAAAAACGATATATTATTTATTTAGCAATTTCAATGTATTTATCTCGAAGAAATAAAAAAAACAATAATTAAGAGGTACATAGGCCATATATATGGTACATTATACAAATCGCAACGATATCAAAGATAGGCATCATCATTATTGAGTACATTTCAAAACAAGTGTGATCCTATTGAGCTGTGGTGTTGTTTTTTCTCATTTGCAAAGACCGTTATACACAAATACATACACAGATCTAGTATAATATTATGTCAAATTTAGAGAAAAATATCAATAGCACCAATTCATTGCAAAGACCTAAGTATTACCAATTGATCAAATATCTAGTTTTTTTGCATTGTTTCAGTAGAAGTATTAGTAGTATTGGTAGAAACATAGAAGCAAAAAAGAGCACCTTTTCTGAAGCAATCCAGAAGCTGAAATGATAGTGAAGAATGGAAAAAGTGAGAATCACAGAACATTAAAAAAACGAATGAACAATAACATTTAGACAGAAACGGTACTCATGAGCAGTACTAAAAAAGAAAGAAGTGAATTTCAGAGAATCGAACTATTACACTTATACAAGTGTGTGAAGCATTAACGGAATTCCTTTATGTGGGAAGGTGATTAACTTGTGAATCTTACATAAATTAATATATAAGACTAAATAAAAACAGACGAACAGTTGCTGAGACTGTCCCACATATAGAAAAGATATGCATTGTGACAAACAGATAAGATTTGAGACAATATAAATCAATTTCGGTGTCAAACACAAGGAAAAGCGAAAAAGATAATTTCCTAAATACTCATGAAGAACAAACCAAAAACCAACTCGGAAAGGAGTACATTTAAATTAATTTCAGTTATTGATTTGAAAGTTTGTTTAAAATTATAATCCTAGAAAATCATGTGAATAGAACGTGTAAAAACAATAACAACAGGTAAACAAAATGCTTTATGATCGCCAATGTGTTTAGTTACGAATATAAATAGATAAATAAATTTGTACATATAGTTACATTTATAAAGAACTGTGTGTAATTCGATAGGAAATAAATAAATACGCTAAACACTTTGAAAAGAATTCTCAAAAATACGAAACATCATCACACCGGCTGTTTTGATGATGAGTGCACTTTCATAAATTAAGTTGGGATAAAAATCACAAATACATAAGTGGGGACAACCAACCTGACCCCCCTTCTCTTTGAGAGAACAAAAAACAACAAACAATGATTGTTTATATTAACTTTTATAGAAATAAGCACATGCACACATACGACAGGAAGGTAAAGAATAAAAGAAAGAAGGAAAAAGTGAAATCATAAAACAAACGTAAAAAGATTCTAAAAATAAAATTTGATCAATTGTTGAAAAATAGAGATAACGAGATTAACAAAATTTTTACATGTTCTCCCATATTTCTTGCTTTCATTCACATTCTACACTGAATTCATGGAGCACGAATCTGAGAACTTTAAAAATATAAAAAAAAACTTCGACTGACATCAACCAACTTATGATCATATGCATTAAAATAAGAAATATTAAAATCTAATAAATATGATTCCAAATGCTATAGTACGTCCAATGTTGAGGATAGTTTCCTCTCCTTCTCAAAATGTTTTCATGAAGCCGTGCGTTTATATAATCTGCTAGGGCAATCCTACTCATTGGTGTTATTTACGGAAATGAGAGGATGGAAAGCGAACATCTGTTGCTTAAATTGGGTTGGTGGTTACCGTGGGTCCACCAGACGGTGTTGGAAAACTGTGGTTACAAAACACTGGTGCCCATAAGCAGCAAGATCATGAAGGAACAAATAGTGTATAGACCTATTTTTAGTGACTAGTTGCCACTGGAAAGCACCTTCCAACGTTTGTTTACTGTCTTGCAGATTAGATCTTTAGGTCAAAGGTTTCGAAGGCCCCGAGAATATCCCAGTATAAACGTAAATATTTTATGTGAACTATATTTTTGGTGCATAGTTGTGCCTGGTTCTACGTTGTAACTGACTGACTGACTGCATAGCTGTCATATATATATATATATATATATATATATATATATATATATATATATATATTTATATATATATATATTGCATGTCCGTGCGCGCGATTAATCGTCCCGACTTCAGATACTGTAGTTACAGTTATACGAATACAGTTTATACTCTCAGTGTGTCACTTGTTTGAAAATAATACTATGTACTTATGACTGGCAATGATAAATATGCTTTTTCAGTGTGATACTTGGGTTGTTTGACAAGAAAGAAATGAAAAGATAAATACACTTTACTAACTGTTCATCAAGATA